CGATAATCACGGCACACACGCACAACAATCACGACCACTTAACAAAAAAAAAAAAAAACAAAAGCAAACAAACAACGCGAAAATGCTACTTGGCGTTGTACCGCCACTCCAGGACTTGTTGATACTTCGCGAAACTATACACATCATGAACTTATCCTACGAAATGTTGCCACGAAGCCCCGTAAAGCCCGATTCTGGCCGCTGTCAAAAACTCGTGAATACGGCCAAGGACACGTCCTTGCCGTCGTAAACAAGACGCGAAATACAAGCGACTAGCTTCGACACGAGACCTGTGCAACGCGGATTCGTGGCTAACAATAATGAAACGGGCACCTCACCGTCGTCCGTTGTTCTCCGGCATCCTGCTGTCTCCTCCGTCCGAAATGACCCTCAAAGAGCTTGCTCACGCAGTCGGGGTCACTCTTACAACTTGAATAACTGCACTACGAGCACCAAAATCGCGGCACGGCAGACTTTTTGTACGGCACGGGAGTCAAGCATACGCACGGGAGCACGAGAGATACGTGTGTGTGTGGCACAGCTGATCGCGACCAAGAGCACGAAGATCTTGTTTGATAAGCGGTCGATATTCCGGGCAGCGCTAAGGTCGCGTGGGGTAGGTCGCGTGGGCCAATCAGGCTGCAGGATTCGCAGCGCGGCTCGCAAGCTCGCTCGCAAGCGACAGGATCAGCGGGCCGCGAAATTCGAACACTCGCAGTATTATATTACGCTATTATGCAGCAGCGCAAGCAAAAGATGCAGCAATGTCAGAAGCAGCGTGTTCTCGAACCCACGCAGCAGGATTGTTGGAACACAGTGCATCTCGGCGTAGGCCGACTCGTCAATGGTCCGTTCCGCCGTTTCGCCCGTTCTTCTAGGCTAGTTCGCTGGCCGTCATGCAATCGTAGAAAGCGTCAATGTTCCGCTGTGGCCTTTCCATGCAGTCACCTACCCTTGCTCTCAGCGTGACCTCGAGGCGAGACCTCACGATGATCCTCAGGACGGTGAGGCGCCGAAATTACATACAAGAAAAAATAAAAAATAAAACGCTATTCTAAGCGGACGCATGCAAGCTCTGGAGGATCTTGGCGCTCATTTTTCAGCTCGTTTTCCCGAGCTCTCGCAAAAATCTGTAACTTTTGTGACGAGGAAAGAGCGGCGCGAGTACCACGTCATAACATATATATATATATTTTTTGACGTTTTTATGGCTGTTATCAAATTCTCGCGTCGCGCCACCGCAAACGGAGAACGTATCACAAGACTCAGGCGGACGTCCGCGAGAATAAAGCGTCGGATTATTGGCAGGATAGAAAAAGATGTTCTGAGCATTCACCGCCGGGTCAAATCAACGAATACTTAGATGTAAGTTAGGGCGCCAGATATGTTTCCGTATCGTACTCAACGTCGTTCGGCACTGCGGGCCGACTAGCTTGTGTGTAGCACGGAGAGAGGCTGGGTTGATTACTGATTTTTAATGCAGGCTGTCCCGTGAGCCTACGACAATAGCTCGCGCGTGATAAATAACATAAGAGACCAGATTACTAAACAACAAATGATGACAATTTAAAATCTCTTGTTTTTGATCGGGCGAGTTTGAACCGTTTTGCTGGGTGTTGTGCAAATAATTCAAATGCAATATCTTTTATCCAAACGTTTCGGTTTATTTTGAACTTTCCTTAGTAAATTACTATTTATAAAATTTGTATGTTTATTTACATTGGAGTTATCATATTGTTAGTTGACAATTAAAAGAGTTTTAACAAAGTATTTAAAGATTAAAAAAAAAATTTTTTTTACTTTAAATGAAACAATCCCTCCTGATTTTTATAATGACAAAGAGGTATATAATTAAAAGTTAGTCATGTTGGTTAAAATTAGTTAGTCTGTGTGTGAATGTGTTTATGTCAAAAGTTTCGTCATTACTATGTCAGGAGCGAAGGTTTACAGAGTAAATATATCTATATTTTGATAGTGACATCTATACAACGTGCTTCTATTAATTTTGTTTTAATTTATCTAGGATCGGTAAGTATATTTTGTCTAACATTTCCATATCTTCCATTACGTTGATACTATTGTTATGTATTTTGATTTGTATATTAATAGAGTTCCAATTAAATGAATGTCCTGTATTAAGTGTTCTGTTATTATTGAATTTTGTTGATTGTTTTTTACATATTGCATATATTCTTTAATACGTGTTTGTACTTGTTTTTCGGTTTGTCCAGTGTAATTAGCTTCACATGTGTTACATGATATCTTATATACTACGTTTTTCTTTTTGTTTTGAGGTAATTAGTCTTTGTGTGTTTTGATGAATTTGTTCAATTGGTTTAAATCATTAATTCTAATGGGTTAGAATTAAACCATTAGAATTAAATCATTAGAACCTAACCATTAATTTCCAATTGGAACTCTATTAATATACTTGACACAGAACCCAATTACTATAAGCGTTTAATTTCATAGATGTTACAAATCAAAATACATAACAACAGTATCAACGTAATGCAGGATACGGAAATGTTAGACAAAATATCCTTCCCGATCCTAGATAAATTAAAACAAAATTAATAGAAGCACGTTGTATAGATGTCACTATCAAAATATAGATGTATTTACTCTGTAAACCTTCGCTTCTGACATAGTAATGACGAAACTTTTGACATAAACACATTCACACACAGACTAACTAATTTTAACTAACATGACTAAGTTTTAATTATATACCTCTTCGTCATTATAAAAATCAGGAGGGATTGTTTCATTTAAAGTAAAAAAAATTTTCTTTTTAATCTTTAAATACTTTGTTAAAACTCTTTTACTTGTCAACTAACAATATAATAACTCCAATGTAAACAAACATACAAATTTTAGAAATAGTAATTTACTAAGGAAAGTTCAAAATAAACCGAAACGTTTGGATAAAAGATATTGCATTTGAATTATTTGCATAACACCTAGCAAAACGGTTCAAACTCGCCCTATCAAAAACAAGAAATTTTAAAATAAGTTAAGAACCCAATTCACAACATCAACATCTATGATAACAATTTATTACTACACGTAGAACATAGAAAAAAACAAAATAATACAAAGAAAGGTAAGCCGTAAGAAGAGTTTCGGGGTGAACCAACGGAAGGACCGTGCGAGTACCTATCGCAGAAGGTAACAACAAACCGAACTAACTGCTTAGCTTCGGAAGGTCGCAAGTATCGAAACGATACCTGAGTCGCTAGGTGAAGGTGGTCACCCACTCGCCGCCAAAAGCGCTGATCCGACTGAGCAAAGGTCACTGGGCACCCTTAATCGAGATAAAGCAAAAGCATGCAGTTTGATTTTGCAATACAGTGCAGACTATATAGACAAGGCAGTGCAAGCAGGCCACGACGCATACGCGGCGTAAAAGTAAATCAAAAGAAAATCTAAGCCGTCCGGTTCGCTTGTCCGACGCAAAGCTTTCGCCAATTCCACGATCACGATTCATCACCGTCGTTATTTAAACAGAAACAATGTGCTTTCGGAATCCGCGAGATAAAGCCAAGCGAGGTGGCGTAGGAAGGGTAGACACTTTTATTTCGCTCACTGCAAGTCGCTGTGGCCGATCGGACCGGAAGATTCATTTCTTCCGATTACGCACGTAAAAGAGGCGAGAGTAAAATAAACGAAACGGCCTCGTTCAATCGTCGAATGCGGCAAGCACACTCACGCCTAGCCCGGGTGATTAGGCACCGTTATTACTCTATTTTTGCATTTTCGCGCAAACTCCTCTCGATGGACCGACGACGAATCAGTACAAAAAATCAGTTATAACTGATTACTGACAAAATCAGTTATAGTATTGAACAGCTCAGTACGGATTACGCCGGAAAGCTTGAATAAATATTGCCAGATGAATACGATGGAAACTCACTCAAAACGCGGCCGATCAATTCATTCTACGCGAACGAAGCAAACGTGACTAGATATATGTGTTAATAACACTTACACACACACACACACACACACACCCACAATTCGTTATAATAAGAAAAACTAATCAGGTGATCACCGGTACGCGACGGTATTTACGGTAGTTGCGGTGTGATAGCGACACGATAGGGCCGTCGCAACACACTTCGACAATAATGGGACAAAAAAAAACACGAAAAACTTACGTCAAAAAAACTTTGCACACTACACGCTACTTGGTGCGCTACCGCATCTCCAGAGCTTGACTATATTTGCAAAAATTCTAATTAACCCTTGTGTGCGCACCCGGTTACCCGGGTGCCCACCACTGCTGATTTTTGCATGTAAGTGGGTTAAAAATGAAAATTTTGCTTTGTACGCCCGGATCGTCGTTATTTAACTCATTTTTAAGCAAATGGTGCATTTGGAGATTTTTAAGAAGTTTTTTAAGCACAAATAATCTAGTTTAAAGTATACATATGCCGCGGACGCACCCGGTTACCCCGGTACCCACCATAGAAAAATTCAATTTTGAGTGAACTATTAGCTTTTTTTATTAATTTATTTGATTTATGCGCGTGAAATGAGTTGCGTAATAATAGAATACATGAAAATTTATGTAAAAAACAAAAAAAAAACATTTATTTATTGCATTCTATGCACTTGGCAAAAGTTATCGCATGTTCATCGCAAATAGGCCTATCACATTCGGAGCAGGCCTTTCGTGTTTTCCTTCTCCTCTTAATTGTTNGTTTGTAACAAATATGACAGGAACCGATAACTTTCTTCCTTCCTGATGCATCTCGTTGAACTGACGGACCTGGATCGGCCTCCACTGGATTTACTGGCCGACCGATTACACTCTCAATAGCGATCTTGGTGCTATGGTTTCTCATTATTTGCACGTTATTATATCGATCCTCAATCATTGGCGTTGCAAGTTCTTCGCTCAATTGGCGTAAAAATAACCGTCGCTGGTTGGTTTTTTTNGGCAGCATCTTATTATTTTCATAATAAATGAGGTAGGCAGCGAGTGAGGCAACGTCTAATATGTTGAAAAACATAACTACCGGCCATCTNAAAGTGCGACGTTGTGTAGTGTATCTACTAATCATTTGGTCCATCGTGTCGACGCCAGCTTTATATTTATTGTAATATGTGATAATATGGGGCTTCTTCTTAGCATCATCGCTCACAGCCATGTCGGAATGCATCGTTGATATTAGAATAACTGCTTTATTCTTCTNCGGTACGTAGGAACACAGCGTTACTTTTTCGTGGAATCCAAACATAGTAGAGNATANTTCTCTCGATTTATTTGGAGCCATCNCACTTGGAATGTAAGGTTTATTTTTCTTCAAAGTGCCAACTAAAGTTAACTTCCATGAAAGTAAATGTTTGGCAAGTGGTAAGGTTGTAAAATAATTATCCGTGGTAATATTTCTACCACTGCCTCGGTACGCGGCTACATGTTCTTTTACTATTCTTTCTCCTTGATGTTTTTCTCGAACATTACCTGTTTTGCCTGTGTAAATGATGCNGTGCAAGGGATAGGCATTTTCAGCGTCGCAAGCCCACCAAATCTTGATTCCATATTTGGCCGGTTTTGAAGGTATGTACTGCGTAAACCTTGTGCGACCGCGAAAAGGATAAAGTTGTTCATCGATCGTTAAATTCTCCGTCGGCTTGTACATCATAGATAAATTTGCGTTGAGCATTGTCCAGAGATCACGGATCGGAGCTGCTTTGTCTTCTTTTGCGCGTTGCTGGCGTGTATTGGCGTCGTCAAATCTAATAAACCGCATGATGTTTCGAAACCTATTGAGCCCCATTGTCGCTCGATAGAGTGGATATGAATTTGAATGCCACATAACACTTGTATGATCGATGTTAGAATTATTAACACCAGAGCAAATCAAAATGGCCATGAATGAGTACATTTCTTGTACAGTAACATGCTTCCATTCTNGCTTCGAATCTGGATGCGCTGCATTGAATGCTGCGTAGACTGACAAAGCCTTTTTATTTGTATGTCGAACGATAATATCTACCATTTCTACTGTGAATATTTTCTTGAAAGTGTCGCTTATTGAAAGTGTTGCGGTACTTCGATGAGGACCACTTTGCTGACGCACTACATTATGAGATGCAGTTTGATGTTTATGAAGCGGCGTTTTATTCCATACCGTTTTATCTTTCGCTATGTAAGCGCAGAGTGTTTCCCCTATTGCTGCTTGATCCTCTCTCTCACTTTCACTTTCTCCTTCCTCTTCCTCTTCTTCGTAATCTAAGCATATTAGACCAAACTAAATATTAGTTATGATTTTTTATTTCGCGCGGCAACAATTTATAACAATTTTATATACCTTCTTCGGAAGGTGCATCAATTTCTTGAGCAACTGCTATTTCTTGATTATCTACACCAGATTCATCGCTATCAAGAGCCTCACGCTCAGGCAAAATTTCATTTGGTAACCAGTCGCCATCGCTGTCAGACGCGACTTCGTCTGACTCGTCATCATCGTCTCCTAATATCGCGTTCAAATAAGCTTCTTTTTCCGTTTGATTCAATCTAAGATAAAATTCATGCATTATTCATTTTTTNAATAAAATAACAGAAAGAAATTAGAATTTTTAAATAAAGCACTGAAAAAAAACCATTGATGTACATTTTTTTTACCTTGCAAATTCAGTCCTCGATAATTCCTCCATGCCTCTACAGTATATTGCGTAGGCTCTAGCCAAACGTTTCCGTTAACTGTAACACGTCTGTGCATGCGAAGAACACGATTCGCACTGACTCACATCTATTCAGACCCTTCTTTAGATGTAAGGAGGGGAAACAGCTGGCTGCCTGGCAGCCTTAGTAACCGCGCGCTACCTGCGTCGACCTCGAAAATCCTGTCTTNTCTTACCTTTGTACGAGCTACAGCANGCCAAATTANTTACAAATGCTTCGACCTTCCATTTTTTATGTTTATTTACTGAGGTAAATGCTAAGGAAACCATTTCAATGGTATAAATATTGAAAAAATTGAAAAAATGAGAGGTGGGCACCGGGGTACCCCGGGTGCGTCCGAACGTTGGTAAAGTTGGGTGCGTACACAAGGGTTAAGCATGCAAGAATCCTACGAATAGCTGCCACGAAACTCCATGAGGCCCGATTCTAGCCGCTGCCGAAAATTCTAAAAGAAGGCGAAGGACGTGTCCTTGCCACAAGTACACAAACTGCGAGAATCGGCGGCTAGTCTCGGCACGATGCTTCGGCAACTCGGATTCGTAATTTACAGAATCAAAACGGGCACCTCACCGTCATTTGTTGTCCTCCGCCATCCGCTCGTCTCTATCGTTTTCGACTGCATCCCAGGGACTCGACAGCTCAGACTTTGGCACCGTCTCGGCTCGAATACAACACCTATGCACGAGAAACTAAGTTATGCGACACGACAATTAATCAAACGCACGGGAGCCCGCAAACGCGTGTACGTTCGGTACAGCTGATTGCGACAAAGAAAGCGAGGATTTTGCTCAATAAGCGGTCAATACGCCGAATAGCGCTGAGGTGGCGTGTGGTAGGTCGCGTCGACCAATCGGGTCATGGGGTTACACCGCGCGGCTCGCTCTAGGCGGCAGGATCAACGGGCCGCGAAATTCGATCGCTCGCAGGATCTTGTGCGTCAACATGCAGCGGTGCAAGCAAAAATACAGCGAGACGGGATATCATCTCATAGCAAGCTGCAGCGAGGCAAGTAGCTCAATAAACAAAGCGATGCAGCCGCAGGATAGTAGTAGCGCTGAAGTTGTCAGCGGAGAGCGATTCGTTGATGGTCCGTTCCGCTGTTCTCCTCATTCTGCTCGGCCGTATCGTCGACTGGCGCTGCGCTGGAAGACCGCGTGGCTGTCCTGGCGAGGCATCTTACATAAAGTGCCATTCCTCACCCCCTGTGACATTAACATGACCCACACAGTGCGCCTCCGGTTTTGCTCCTCTCTCTCTCTCTCTCTCTCTCTCTCTCTCTCTCTCTCTCTCTCTCTTTTTTTATGAGGGAAAATGCGTTCGCGTAATTTCAGTAATTATGCAAGAGAGCGCNCTCTCTCTCTCTCTCTCTCTCTCTCTCTCTCTCTCTCTCTCTCTCTCTCTTTTTTTATGAGGGAAAATGCGTTATGCACCCCCGCCCTGTGGGGATTTGGGCGGGGAGTGTGGGACTCGCACCCACTAAAACCCCTCAATGGCCTCCACCGGACATAGTGGGGGAGCCTGTGGCAGCCAGTAGGCTATTACATCTCCAGGCCTCCCCGAGTCCAAGACTTGTCCCCAAAGGACAACGCCCCCTATCACCGTTGCCTTTGGGGTTGCGGCAGGAGGAGGGGGCCATAGCCCTCCTCAAGCCGCCTCTCCCTGAGGACTTATGCAATGGCGTGGCAAGTTCCCCAACTTGCCACACCAAGTCCCCGCCCCCCGTAATCAAAGTCAGGAGGGGTCGATACATGTTATACGCACTCCTTACCCGCGACCAAGCAGCCCCATGACTGGGGCTGGGTCCAGGGGTCACGCCCGAGTCGTGACCCTCCCACCCCGAGCACGGATACTGCCTCCAAGTCGAGCTTAATTGCCCGACTTGGAGGACTTAGGTCCCGGCTTTTCTCTTCTCGGTGAAGGGGAAACTGACTAGCCTCCCTTCTGCCGCTTGGGGGAGGGCTCCTTAGTGGAGCCTCCCCCTGAACTCGGCGCTTTTGGCGCCGCACCTGTTTGTGTCCGGGGGCCAGCAACCTTACGGTCTCTGGTCCCGGACGCTTTCCTTTTGGGGAGAGGGGGAGGCATCGCGCCGTCCCCACTCCCCGTTTCCCCGGTCTCCGGCTGTTCCCGGAGATCGGTAGGTTCCTCGCTTGGGGCGGAGGCTTCAGTGGCCTACCCCCTTTTTCCCGCGGCGGGCTTTGTGCCTTCAAAGGGGGCCGACGCGGGAGGGACGTCCTCCCGCCCTTCGCCCTCCTCCGGCCACAGCCGGGCCAGGCTCTCCACCGGAGAAAGGAGGTAAACCCCCTCTCCGTCCTCCTCCCAGCCGGAAGAGTCTCCGCCGGACCCGGCACTGCGGTCCCGCCACTTCTTCCTCTTCTTCGGGGAGGTGTCAGGCACCGCCACCTCCCCGCTCTCCTTGCCACCGGGTGACAGCGTAGGCGCCGGAACTCCGGCGCCCCGCCTGGTGGCTACTTTTTTCACCGGCATGGGGGCGCAGCTTGCGCCGCCCATCCGGTGGTTTGCTGGCTGCCCCCGGCTTGCACACAGCGTGCATTTGAGGGCAGCCCTACAGGAGATGGCGAGGTGGCCACCCTCCCCGCATCTGTAGCACGCCGTGCTCCGATCTACACCGGAGCACCTGCGTGCTACGTGCCCGTACTCGAGGCACCGGTAGCACTGCATACGCTGTGCCGCCAGTGCCTCGACGGGGAGGCTGAACCACCCCACCTCTACCCGTTTCGCCCGTACTACCCGCCGGGCCGCCCTCAAGGGCATACGGGCCCATAAGGTCCCGTACTCGACGGGAGAGGAGCGAACCAGCCCAGTTTGAACTTCACTGGGCTGGCATCCACCTGCCGCCGCTAATGCGGCGGCAATGTCCTCCGCAGAGAGGGGGGACACCACGTCCCGCACTCGGATTTCCGCGTGCTTTGTGGGACGGGTGAACTTCACCCCCTCCACTCCCTCCAGCGCTTTGGACGCCCTCTCGACGAGGGCGTCGGCCATCTCGGCTCCTCCAGGCCCGGGTACCTGGAGGAGCATGCCGCCATTGGCCGCCCTCTTTATCCGGAGGCCGGAAATTCCGACCTCCTTCAAATTAACGGCGGCCGCCGCCTTCTTCATTACCTCGCTATAACTGCCGCCTTCCCCCACGGTAAGGAGGACGGCAGCCCCAGTGGGGAGCCTGCCGAGTTTCGCCCTCTCCGCTGCCCCGGTGCGTTGACTTGCGCCAGCGGGAGGGCGCCGTTTTTTCTCAGGAGGGGGAGGCTCTTTCCCCCTCCTTCGCGCCTTGCGCCCCACAACCGTCGCCCAGGTGGTCGGGGCGGGTACGGCTGCAGGCGCGCTTGAGGACTGAGGGGCGAGCTCTCTCCTAATTAGAGAGAGGATTTGCCCCTCCATCGCGTCCCCGATCTTGTCCGCCAAAAAGCGGACACATCTATCCTACGGGAGATTTAGAGGGGGATCTTCCCTGAAGGGCTCATTCGCCCCCTCCCTCTGTTTGGACCCCCCGAGAGTCCATTCTTGGCGGCGGGGTCGTCGCCGCGGTCGCCTTCGAGGGAAGCGCAGGTCCATCGACCTGCGTCCCGCAATCCGCGACCTCCTTCCTCGACGCGCCTACGAGGGAAAAACTCTTCTTGTAGGCCGCGTCGAGCATCTCCCGTACTTTTTTATACCGGGAGGACATAATCCTTCCGGCCTCCTTGCTGAGTCGGAGCTTTTCTTCCAGCGTCCTGACGCGCTCATCTACGAGCGCGCCAGGCCCGGACAGCCCCGACTCTGCCGCCTCTATCGGCACATAGGCGAGGGCAACAATGCCCTCGCCCAGTCCCTTTATAGTGGCCGCCACCTCCTTTAGGATCTTGACGTAGCGGCCGGCAAGATTTTTGGAAGTGGTGGCCACCTGCATCACGGCCTCCGCAGCTGTGTGCGGTTTTTGCACCATTTCAGCCGCGGAGGCAATCGGGCACGTGAGTCTGGAGGACGGCAGCCGGGTGGTGTCGCGCCAGCACTCGTCTTCCAGCTCAAGGACCGCCGCCGCCCGCCTCGCATCCGAGGCACGCTTCTCGGCTGCGACTATACCGAGAAACTCGGCGGCAGTCGACGATCTTCCCATGCCCCCACTCGTGCTGAGGGCCGGCGTGGAGGCGTCCTCCTCTACTTCCATGTCCGAGCCCCCAGATGGAGGTGGGGACCCGAACAAGCCAGCGTATGTTGGGGAGCGAGAACGCTCCCCCGCCGGCTTCTTCGTTTTCTCTCCCCCAGAAGAGGCGCCAACGGCGCTACCCTTCGTGAGAGAGACCGACGCCCCAAACATACGTCGCGCACCTAGCGCGAGTACGTCGGAACGTTTCTTCGCA